CTGATTTTGTCATAGTGATGTCATCAGGGTTATCTCAGTTTAGACTTGAAAAAAATTCATAACAGAAAGCCTGTTTTACAATTGGAAAGATGTGGGAAGTACAAGTCAGGATACCTCAGCATCTTATTTTAATCTGTTTCCCACAACTTCATGGAAGTACTCATCCCCATCAGTATTACTGAAGTGGCCCTTAAAGGGTGTTACACATTTTTTTGGATCAAGCTTCTAGCCTTCATTGGAACAGAATATTTTAAGAAATCAATCAAGTTTGAATTTGGATTGTTTCCCATTGGGCATAATTCTCTTAACTTTATTTAACACTAGTAAAAACACCAACAGACAGCTAACTGCTGTATGTCATGATGAGTGTGTGTGTGCATGCGTGCGTGCGTGTGCTAACCAGCCTAGCTGCTGCTGCCAGGGATGCTAGTGTGTGGGATTAATAATGGACGCTTTTTGAAATTATTATTATTCCCAAAATGCTCTTTTGTGATTTGCTTTGAAGGGCATGCATGTGTGTGTGGGTGGGAGGGTGGAAGGGGGGTCAGGAATGTAGGCCAGCAGCATTGGTGTTCCTCCTGCTCCCCAACCCTGGATAGCAAGTGCCCTCGCCTCACTTTGTATTTATTTGTTTCTTTCTCACTTGTCAAGAAATATATAAATAGAAACAGACTTTAAAAAATCACAAATAAGATGCAACTGTGGATATAAAGTGGAAGTGGTGTCATCTCACAGTCCAGAAGGGGGGGCGGAAGCAATCACTATCCCAGAGGAGTGAAGCTAACAGACGCTGACCTTCCTTGTGAACTGGGTTGTGAACACCATGGCAGTGCACTGTGATTTTAATTGATACAGGGTCGGGGCTTTTCTGATCAGCTACTCTTTGGTGTGTTTTGTTGTGTTTTTTATGTAAACCCACCACCAACTCCCACCAAGCCCCAAAAAACTCCACCATCTTTGGGAAGATGATGTGTTAGTGAGATACAGTAGCTGGTTTGGGATTTAACACACACAGTTCTATCTACATTTGTTTTCTTTTCTTCTCTGGGATAAAGTGACATGATAACTTGATTTATGATGAAGGAAATAATAGGTTTATAATTTGGCTACTTTCTGATTGTCCCCTTACTCCTTCCTGCCTGCTAGCGAGAGTGCTGTACTGGGTTTAATATGAAGCAGCAACAGCCAAATACCATCTGTTGGCATGCGGATTTTCTGTAATCTCTCTTTACTGATTACAACAATGACTACACAAACCTCTTAAATAATTATCCCACGATGTAAAAAAGTGAAATAATTATAATCATTAACTCCCACCAAGTCTGCCACTCCTTTAGCAAATGAAGGCTGTCAGAGAGAGAGAGAGATAAAGAGAGAGACAGAGTGAGAGAGGGCTTTTTCTGCTGTGATGCCAATCATGTCTTATTTATACCAGCAGGGTAGAGTACCACACAGCAGTGACAAGCTTAACCCACCAACAGTAAAGAGGAAACTGTGGGAAAAGTGACCGCTCTCTCCCTACAGTACCATCACTGCACCTTAGGTTTTTTCATTTTCTGTTTTCTGCAGCTTTTTCTGACATGATATTTCCAGCAGTGGAATTAGTGTCAGGTTTTGCTGTAAAATACATTGATCAGAATTATATATACATATATATGTATAGGCTCCACTTAGTTTCAAAAGATAATTCTGCAGTACAACCTTGTGTACAATGTGTTTGTGTAAAACATGTGATAACACACATGATGTTCTGAACTAAGGTGGCTACCTATGGAAATGTTCACAGCTTTTCTCTGGGGGCTATTAAAAAGCATTCTGGGAGATTTTGGAAATGACCATCAAGAATTAGAAACCAGCCTGAGGCTATATCAGTACACCTAGAAAAAAAAAATGATACTAAGTTGTTCCTGGAATGCACAGCAAACATCATCATTTGATGGCAGTAAAATAGTGTCAGTAGCATGCAAACATCTTTTCTGTATGGTTTCCACATTCAAGAGTTTTTAACACAAAGCTTGGCATTTTGCCTTTGGGTCATTTTCTATAAAATGCCTGATCAAAAGTTTTGATTGGAAAATCCTATTATACAAAGAGGCAGTCAAATATAGTGGAATAAAACGTAGAATATATACATCGGAAATGTAGTGAAACAAAAAGTAAACTACAAGAACGTCCACCTTGTTGAGTACTTCAGTAAATGTACTTAGTTACGGTACACTACTGCTATAGATACATATTCATTAGAAGCAACTGCCAGTCACTTTTTTTTTTATTAGCAACAGGTTTGGTATGTTGATGTTGTATGTATGTCTCTGTAAGCATTCATCTGTGTGTATATGTGTGTGTAAGTCTGTTTACAAATCTCTTTCTATACAAGTCATCTCAGTGTGTATGGGTTTGCAAGTTTGTGTGTGAGTGCTTTGTGTGAGAAATGGTGTGAGAATACGTCAAAGGGAGCATGTGTTAGCTCTGCTTCCAATATGAGGGAAATCTGTGGCACATACCTCCGATATGACACAAGCCAAAACGACATGACTCACCCATGCTATATTTGATTAATAAAACTACAGCCGGTGGAATGTGCTCCCAACAGCAGACCGTTACCAATGCATGGTTTGACTGGAGAACAGTAGCATAATATCATCAAGCTATGAAGACAAAATGTATGTGTGTGGAGCATGAAATCTGATATGATCAAAAATAATTTAATATGAATGTTACATATGCAGTTAAATATGTCTTCATGTTTCACTTTAGGAAGGCATATGTGAATGCAGAGTGACAGTTCCGACAGGCTGTCGTCTCAGCTTGTCCTGAAGAAAACAGCTGTTCTATATGTTTAATCCCTGCTGCTCTGAATCTTATAATAAATGTTATAACATGCATTTTCCAGCTTCGAGAGAAAAGGTTTCAATTGATTAGCACTTTACAAGCGATCAATTTTTACAAACCGGGCTGACCCCCTCGTCTCTTTCTCTGCATCTCAGGAAGCCAGCTCTCAGGGCGATGGTCTATTGCAAATTAAAAGAATACAGAGAAGTGAGAGTGTGTGAGTAATTATTGGACAGAGGATGGAAAGAAGAGGAGGGATGTTGGAGAGACATATATAGATTGAGGCATGCAAAGATGAATGTGAGATACCTAGGAACAAGCAGTGATGATGGTGATGATGATGATAGTGATTACAGTCAACCAGGTGGGATGAAGCATCCTAACCCCACAAAGCAGATATATCCTTCACTTGTGTTTGTCACATGATCTCCAGTCACTCATTGACACACAGAAACCTACAGTGCACACACCATAACAACCGTCACTATAAGAGATGGGGTGGCCACGCTCCTCCAGCTCCAGGAATAATGGCTTGCACCTGTTTACCATGTCACCTCTATTTGCTAATTGTCTCCTTGAGCTACACAGAGAGAAACTGATGGCACTGTGGCATTTTGACAGGTGGGTATGTGCTTTCCAGTTTCTTAAAAGTCACGTCAAGTTAATACATTTATATATTGATACTGTGTGTCCCTGAGTGTAATTGTTTCTTTGTTTATCAGTTTCAACAAAAAGTATGTTTTGTATATTCTTTTTTTTAACTAAAATTTCAAAAATGTTCTAAGAACTCATCTGGGACTTGCAGTACAATGGTATATATACACAAATAACACCTAACAAAATGTTTCTTCACTGCTTTAGTGGAGCTGTTTTCACTCTGTGCATTCAGTAGGACGATTGGTCCAAGGGGGGAGGCAGCCGCGCTAGCTCCATCTCAGTTGCCTCACAACAGCTCAGAAGCTGGCATACAGTATTTGCACAGGGTATCTTCCATATTTTAGAGTTGTTGAAACAGAAAACAAGACACCTGAGCTATTAACTAGCAAATAGTATCTGGGCCCAGTAAGAACAGCACCATCTTACTCATGGGTTTATGATGCTGTGTTGTCATAAGTGTGACAATATTTCACTTCCAGAGTAATGAAGGTCTGAACAAAGTCCAAGTGATTCTATCTCGGTACAAAGTGTTAACAAGGCAGTTTAGTCCTCCTGGAAGGCATATGTTTGGTGTACTTTTTCTAAAGGTACTAATTAAGACAGACAGTACGTACGTAGTCTGGACCATCTCTTTCCTGGATACACAACTGCATTTCTCATATATTTAGAATATTTCTACAAGTCCAGTAATCCACTGGCAAAATACACAACTTTGAAAAGCCAGTGCTGACTGTTGCTTTTTCAGAATTTCCCAGTTAATCTTGAATGAATATCAAGCCTATATTTTAAACTCGTCCTCTCAACAGTTCTGTATCTGGGCATCCAGTATATGGAGCAAAGGGAAATAAGTTTGCAAAAGTAAGTAGGCCACAGCTGTTATTTCAAAGTGTCAGATAGATTGAATCAACATTTCATATCTTCTGCCGCTCATCTCATTTTGACATTGTAGGTTATGAACATTAACTAGGCTGTCACTAAAAAGTGTAGTGTTACCTTTCAACTGGTGTCTAGAGAGTCTTAGTTACTTGAAAATGTTAAAAGCTAAATCTAATTAAATTAAAATAGGGGATTCAAAGGAGAAGAAAATTCCGGTTTGAAAAGTGGATTTTACACAATCCCATAAAATGTTTTCGAACCCAAGCCCTAACTAGCGCTAGCAGCAGTGAGATGAGTCAACAGTATGTTCTGCAAAAGGGAATCATGGAATCAGTCACTGCAGAGTTCATAATAATATAGTATCGCGTGCTAATAGTTTATTTCCATTTGCACAGTTCACTTCAGTATGATGACCATTCTTTCCCCCGTCATATTTACAGGTATGAATGACTCAGCAGTGTGATGAGACACATGGTGCTGCCTAAAGCATGGCACTGCCTAAGTGCATGCTCAATTGACTTTCTCTGAATAAACAAAGATTTAACTGAAAACAAAACATGTGTGCGCGGGTGTGCAAGTGTGACAGACACCTTTAATATCCTCCCCTTTCACATGATCAATCGGTGTGATCGTACCTGCGTGACTGCCGCCTCTCCAACAAATGCCGGATGTCAGGAAGAGTGCCGACAGCTCCACAGAAGGTGGCACGACAAGAGCCTGTAAACAAAGCACACACACCAGGAAATTCGCAGTCATTTGCCTTTGAAGCTTGACAAGTTTGCAGCACTGGTGACAGAAGAGAAATACCCATTAAAATATTGTTTCCTGAGCCCCCTTTCCCTAAACCCCCCCCACAGCTTTATTTTTCCTCAGGACTTCCTGTGAGGGTGTGATGTCATTTAGACATCTATGAGAAATCTAACAAATATTTGAATTATAATGGCATGTGTAGATCAATCTTACTTTTTTTTAAAATCATTATTACATTTTAATTTGACACTGGAAAATGCATTTGAAGATGACGGAATCATACTGGGACACATACTAAGATGCACAAGGTTTATTGTTTGGGAGTTAAAATGTCCAAAATTAGCAAGCCTTGTTCTCCTCAGCAGAAAACTGTGAAAGTCTAGGCAGCACAGCAGAACATGTTATCTGATCTAGTCCTGAAACCCTACTGCTGAACACCAGAAAAATAATCAAGCCAACACAAAGTATGTGAAGTAAAAGACTGCCACTCCCTTTTAAAATAGTATCTGTCTCAGTGGACTGAGGCCTGACAGAGAGAAAGAAGCATGATTCATGAAACCATCAAAGCCTGTTGAGGTGAAAAACCTGAAAAAAGTTGCATACCTTTGTTGAAGAAGCTAATTTATCCATTTCTACGCAGCTGACTAAACTGCTCCCGATTTACATTTCATTTTTTGTGACATTTCAAATGTTTGCTTAAATCTGTTGAAGTTTGCTTAGATGGTAATCTGCGAGATCTTGGCTTTGTATATTTGCTTTCAATCTTAAGTGCTAAATGCTCAATGCTGCCTTCTTTTTGCATTGCCAGAGATCACCTGTCACTGTTTTCTTGCATGTCAGTACAGTAAGCAGCACTCGTTTCTGTGATTCTTTAGGTTGGAAATATTGCCCATTATTACGTGAAATGTTTGACTGGCAGAGAAGTATGGGTTTTACTAAATCTTATGGCAATTCTGGATGTGGAGAGGCAGCCAGGCATGGAGAAGCTGGCTAAGTCCTACAACAGTGGTGGGGCGGTGGGGTGGGGGGAAGAGGGGGAACACAGAAACACAGATGTGGAGGGTCTGCAGGAGGGCCACCCAGATCTACCCACCACTCCTGTTTCAATGGAGCAGCAAGATTAAGACTCACACTCACAAACAGAGCACACACACACTCACTCCCTCACACACAAAGCCACAACGTTGCCTTAAGTCACAATCTAAATTGGCTCCCAAGGGCATACCGACTACCTTGTTCACCAAAGGCATTGTGTATGTTTTTTCAGTGTTTAGCATATGCTGCTGTAACCTGAGATCTCTTACTCTCTCTCACTTTCTCTCTCTTACACACATATACATGCACACAAACACACGGTGTTTCTAGAAGTTGCTTTACATATTTCCCATCAGGCCCTTAATTTCAAAATAGTTCATGTCTAACTATTAAATCAGGGCGAAGGGATGGGGTGACAGGGGGGCAGGTTGTCATTCATAAAGAAAGAAGTTGTAGCAAGATAGAAGAAACTATAAAGAACTTCTCTCAGATCACAAACAATGAGGAGTGGCACGTCTTCTTTCTGTACTGCCATGCTGTATGATATCGTAATACTGATGTACGAGAGGTAAACACACAGATCAGATACGTTTGTTACGAGAACATACTGTATGTACACAGTATGTGATTGTGTCCATCAGTCAATTAAAAGACTTAAAATCTATCAAGCTGAATTTTTGGATGCTGTGAAAATTCACAAACTATTTTCAAAATGATATTTTGTTATTGTTTCCTTGATCAAAACAAAATACTGAGTCATGAAAAAACTATATTCAAAGGCAGATACAGACAGAGCAGTGTTCTACGTGAGTGAAATACCACAGCAAAGCTAGTGACACTTGAACAAATTTGCTACATCTATGATTTGATATCAAAGCACACTGCGGAGTAATGAAAATAGCATTTTAAGACAGTCTAACCTTTCCTGTGTTTACGTTATTAAAGAGTGTGTGCCTTAACTGGTAGTGCAATACACACAGGGGGAAACAATGTGTATTAAGCCGGCAGTGTTTAAGCAGGCGAACAGTAAAGTAATAGGCAAGAGCAGTGAAGTGTTGATTCTACAAAAGATGTGGGGGAAAATTGCACCTTAGTGCACACACACATACAAGCAAAGACACACATATGCACATACATACACACACACACATTTGCTCCCCCTCCCCAATACACTCCCACAACACGGCCGGCTGCCTGGCAGCCGAAGTTAACATTTTCAGAGAAAATATTCCTTGCCTCCAATAGTCCAGTGTAATTCATTTTCCATCTCTGTTCATTAATCATTGTTAAAATTAGTGATCCATTTCTTCCACTCTGCCATCTGCACTCAGCTTCCTAACAAACATGACACCTCAGCGCATAATAAAAGCTGACAGCTACGAGGAGGCCCTTCCAAATAGCTTTCTGCATATGTGCACCTCCACGACTTGATGCCGTTGTCAGACAGAAGTAGGTTATTTAGACCGCTGGCTGGAGAGAACTGTAGAGGAGTACACACATGTGCATGCTCAAACATAGATGGACATAAATGTAGATTCACGTCCATGTGTCCCAGGACTGTGCAGCTACGGTGTCACAAAGAAATCACACACAATCTCAGAACACTGCCACATGCAGACACTTTCTGTATCACCACATGCACAAAACCAAAGAGGTGCATAATATTTTTATGGACTGTGCTAAATTGTGATAAAAAACGTGTCCCCATATTTTTCAGTAAAAGCATAAAGTGAGGAAAAGGGGGAAACATACAACATATGAGCAATCATCAAACCAAATACAGCAAAAGTAACAAAGGAGGAAAAGACGGGCCTTTAAAAGTTTTAAGAAACCTGTTTACCCCCACAAGGTTTTGGTTTCATCTTCAGCTGCAACACTGCTGTGCTTTTCCATTTTCTTCCAGCAGCCATGGCATTTGTGTGCATTTGGTGTATATCATCTCTTCTACACCCTGATCTTAACTCAGCCAAGAGCCAAAACCATGTAAAATAGAAAGAAAGAGAAGGGAATGAAAGAAGGATACTCTGGTCCAGAGGACGACCCTCTCAAGTGACACAAGCCTCTAATTCACATAAAAATACCCTGATCGACTCCAGCGCTGCCCCAGCAGACACTCTGGTGTCAGTTTCGGTGCTTAATACAGTGGGATACTAAAAAATGTGGTGAAAAGTGACTTTACTTACACACACAGACTCATAGTTAAAGGAAGCATAAGTGAAGGATCCATTCTAATACCTGTGAATTTAGCTGCACCTGTGAGTTGGACACGTACAGCCACATCACAAACCCAGGCTACAAGTCAAATCTTTTACACTTTCATTACTTATTTATTATCAAATAATAGACATTTATTGCCTAATTTCCATTATAACTGAATCAATTTACCACTGCAAACAAATAAAATTGTAAACTTGAGCCTTTTCCTTATCTGATTCCAGGGTGTAAGGACAGAGGGCGTCTTACACTGTGCATTCCCTTGAGGCAGAGTTTTCATTTGTGATATTGGGTTGTATAAATAAAATTTGGCTTGCCTTTAAAAAAATCCAAAAATCATTAAAAGCGTCACTAAGAATACAAGAATGCCATCCAGAGTCTTTCTCTGCTGCTCTCTTTCTCTCTCTGTCTCTCTCACACACACAGAGCTTACTCACAGTACCTTCTCTTGTTAACACCCCCCAAACTGCCCCTTCTCACGTCCACACGCACATATGCACACAGTCGCAAATACGCACACACACGCACACACCCACACACACAGGTTCACATGTACACACACTAAACCTCAACAAGCCTATGATGCTGTAGTGCTCTGATTCTGTTCTGCACACACACACACACACACACACACACTCAGACACAGTCAGGATCCCTCCCTGGCGAGGTGCGTATGTGTATGTGTGTCTGCCCGAGGCACAGCACATTAATCTATATAATGCCCTCAAAGAGAAGGCTTTTTCACACCGCTAACTGCCAAGGACTACGAGGGGCAGCGGCTGAGCCATGATTCAGCTGTTAGCCCAACTGGCGTCCCTGCGCTCACACACACACACATACCCCCTCACCACTCCCACACCACCCTCCAAACACATACACACACACAATACGTTAGCAGGAGTACACACATACACCCTTTGCTGGCAAGACAGACATCTTTGTGAAGTCACAGAGGGACACACTCATCAGCACTAGAGTTGGGTATCGAAGCTCAATACCTTTTTGAAAAAAGGACAAAATCTGTTGAAAAGTATCAATAACTGGTGATGAGCGCTTGCTTCGATTCCGTCTCTACTTATCACTTATCTAGCAGTTCCTGATTCAAATCGTAATTTTGCAAAGTACTTGTGCAGCTGCTTGTATATGGAAAAGGAAATAACATTTGAAAAGTTCAGCTTGTTTCATAAAATGCAAGCAAAAAGGGTTTTGTAGAAACATATGTTCTGTTCTTCACTATAAGTTATCAAGAAAAGTGTTTTTAGTACAGCAGCACCAGTTTCAAAACATTTCCTCCTCACCCTAGTCATCAGTGACCTCATGTTACTTCTAGGAGTTAAAGCTTTGTGATTTGTACATACTGTATATAATCAGTAAAATTACACACAGAATAATTCAGATTTGCCAGTTTCCGAAAACACCTGAGGAAATAAATGCGGAGGCTGGAGCCCGCCACCTCCAGACACTACAGAGGAAGTCAGTTTACTGATGTTACCTTGCAGGATTTCTGCTTCAACATTTCAGAGTGCAACCTCTTGCTTTTGTGTGAAGATGCCAAGTGCAGATTTAATATTCATTTGTTGCATGGAAGGGCACAAAACAGACAGCCCAGAGCAGTGATTGGAGGGCCAGTGCTCAGAGACAGACGGCGAGCAGAAGAGCAACTAAATCATCTTGACATTCACCAAGAAGTAGCCACACAGAAAGCTACTGCTGCTGTT